TCAATGTGATTTTGATCTTTAAAATGTTGTTTTTGCATTTTGTACTGTTACTGATACGTAATTTATCTTAGTATGCCTTATTGCGGGTAAAAATAAGTATATATTAAATGCATCCTCCGAAAGGGTGAATTTGCTACCAGAGTTTAACAGTTAATTCATGTATAATACTTTTGATAAACTTCCTACGTGCTTTTGTTTGAACTAATGTATGCATGTATCTTTATATAATTTAGCTAAATATCTTTCTCGTTAGAAACGGTCATCCCAACGATTATGAATAAACTCATTTAGAAACACATCATAACTTCAGGACAAAATCGGACAGGTTTGCAACAGCTGTAACTTTTGAGGAGGAGGCGGAGCATCTTTTCTCAGCTGGAAAAAAATGCGCTATGGTGAACCCACTGTCCTAGGCGACCTGGGGCGGTGGTGCCTGTTGTAAAAGGACGAGCGGGATTCCCAGAGTGGGAGAGCTGTAGAGAGCCCGAAGCACCAGGGCGAGGAGAGGTGGGCTCCCGGGTGGCTGACTAAGAAGACGGGGGAGGGGTGCATGGCCTGGGGTCCTCGGTAGAGTGGACTCTACCCGAGGAGCCTCAATGGCGGCGCATCGTCAACCGAGAACAGATATCCTGGGCCCTCCAGGAGAAGGGGGAGCCCCGGTGTCTGGCATAACTGGAGGCTGCCGCCCAGCGGTACCGAAGTTGCTGCCAGAAAATGTGGGAGGTGTCCACATCTCCGTCGGCATTGCGGAGAAGCCCTGCCACCCACTCAGATCACACCGTACAGCAACTCGGGTCGAACTTGTCATCGTCCATGCACTAGGCATGGGCTGAACAGGTGGAGTGGCCATCCTGTTGGTATCAGGCCAACACCTCGAACCGAGCAGGGCACCTTCTGGAGCTAGGGATGAAAAAACAAACAGGAGAAATAAAACAATGGAGCAGGGAAGAAAAAGGGACTACAGACGTCTCTCTCTCTGCCACCGAAACCCGAGCCAGACAATGATACCGAATATTGACTCAGCGCATGAGCCTGGAGGAGAGAAGACACAAAGAGAGGGTGGAAAAAGAAGGGCTTCCATGTGGGGAAAACTAAACAACGAAGCGACGTCCTTGGCGTGAAACACCATACAAGAAGCAAAAAATAGGGAGGAGGACTAAAACAAGTAAACAGGAAAAGCAAAATACCTGAAAATGGCCAGCCAGGAGGGTACCTGCACAAGCCAAACAACCTGTTAACTAGCAACCCCCTAAATAACTAAGAAAAGAAAACATTCTGGCAAACTGCTGACTAAAAAATACACAGATGGTGTGAAGAACAACAGACAAAGACCATAATGTGAAGAAGAATCTAAAGCAGGAGAAGAGTCTGGAAATGTCTACCTACAGCAGTGAGGTCAGGAAGAATGACCACCTGAATCTAACTCAGGTACGCTGTGCACGGTGAAGGCAGTAAGGAGCTCTTCTGTGCAGGTACTCATTCTCTCAAGTTTACAATTTTCTTCAAGCTAGTAGCAGCCTATACCGATATAGATGTGTTAATATTGGCCTTGTCACCTCCTAGGGTTATATCTTGAGGTATAATATAGCAAGCGCACTAGCAAAGCTGTCCTCGCTATATATATATATATATATATATATATATATATATATATATATATATATATATATATATATATATATATATATATATATATATATATATATAAATATATTAACTCTTGTCGAGAGTTAATACCATTCTCTATCATCCATGAATCTATCTAGCCTCCTTTTGAAACTTTCCAGAGTTCCAGCACTTACTACAAAGTTGCTAAGCTTGTTCCACTCGTCCACCACCCTATTTGTGAACCAGTTCCTTCCTATCTCCCTCCTAAACCTAAACTTATCCAACTTAAATCCGTTGCTCCGAGTCCTATCCTGCTCGGATATTATAAGAACTTTATCTATATCGCCTTTATTGATTCCTTTCACCGACTTAAATACTTCTGTCATATCTCCCCGCACTCTTCATCTTTCTAGGGAATGCTCGTTTAGTTTCTTTAACCAATCTTGATACGGTAGGTTTCTAACTCCCGGAATCATTTTCGTCATTCTTCGCTGCACCGACTCCAGTGAATTGATATCCATTCTATAATAAGGGCACCAGAACTGAACCGCATAATCGAGGTGCGGCCTGACTAGCGCAAGATATAGTTGCAATAAGACCTCTGTACTCTTGTTAATTACACTTCTAGATATAAAACCCAATACTCTGTTTGTCTTATTTCGAACATTAACGCACTGTTTTCTAGGCCGTAGGTCCGGGCTTACAAGTACCCCTAGGTCTCTTTCACAAGTCGACTTATCTACGTTGATGTTGTTAAGGCAGTATACATTGACAGTATTTGTTCTTCCAATATTAAGTACGCTGCACTTGCTGGTGTTGAATTTCATTTGCCATTTTCCTAACCACTCCTGCAGTTTATTTAAATCCTCCTGTAGTGCATTTGCATCCTGTCCTGAATTAATCTGCCGCCCTATTTTGGTGTCATCAGTAAACTTGCTTATGTCACTGCTGATCGCGGGATCTAGATCGTTTATGTAGATTATGAACAAGAGTGAACCCAGTACTGACCCCTGGGGAACCCCACTGGTTACACAGCCCCACTAAAGTTTAACACCATCTACGCTGACCCTCTGTGTTCTATCGGTGAGCCATGATTTTATCCAATTTAAAACTTTCCCCTCGATACCATGAGCCTTCACTTTTCTCAGAAGCCTCTGATGCGGTACTCTGTCAAACGCTTTGCTAAAGTCTAAGTAAATAACATCGTGTATATATATATATATATATATATATATATATATATATATATATATATATATATATATATATATATATATATATATATATATCTACACGGGAAAATGGAAACAACGGAGTACCTTAGCTTTCGTCCTTATTCATTGTGGATTTACATGAAATATATATATATATATATATATATATATATATATATATATATATATATATATATATATATATATATATATATATATATATATATTTCATTAGCCCAATAAAGCACGTGGACTTCTACATATAATCAACACCTCACCCCGCCAGGATTCGAACCCACGGCCCACTACTGTTTTATATATATATATATATATATATATATATAAAACGAAGACGAGAACAATGGTAAACACAAACATCTTGACCATGTTGGCTTCTTTTAATCGCTATCGTTTCGGAAATAGTCGTTTTCCATCATCAGAGCCTAAAAACACAAAAGTTTTGAAAAGTTTTAAAAAATACAGGTGGTATACAATAAAAACATGATATTATACGAAAATTTACCTTCGATAAGCTTTACAAATTTAAAAAAGGGCAATCCAATTCAAAACCGACAAAAATGACGAGAGACCTACATACAAAGGTAAAGTCAGTGAAAGTTGGTTTTCTGTATAAGGCTGTCTCGAAACTATTATGAAGACGGTGGATATTAACATCAAGGAATGGAAGAATATTTTCCTTTTCCAATTCACAAGTAAATTTGATGTTGTCATGTTTATATGTTTATATGTTAATATCCACCGTCTTCATAATAGTTTCGAGACAGCCTTATACAGAAAACCAACTTTCACTGGTTTGAGTGCCAAATTTTCATCTTTTATTCCTCTTAATTACAAACGTAATCTAGTACGTACTCTTACCAACAGAGCCTTTAATATATGTTCAAGCTATTTCCACTTGGACATTGAACTAAAATACATAAAGGAACTACTCTTTAACAATGGCTTCCCTAAGAGATTTACAGACACTTATATTGGCAAAACCCTTAATAGGTTTTTTAGTCCCACGCAGCCTCAAATCCACACTGTCCCTAAATATTCTGTCTATTTCACCATCCCGTACGCAGGCCCACTCAGTTGCACCCTTAGAAATAAACTTAGAAGCTTTTCAATGAATTCTATCCAAATATTTCTCTTAGACTAATCTTTGAAACCCAGAGTTCAATTATAAAATTCTTTAAAATTAAAGACACCATACCCACACACCTGCACTCCTCAGTTGTTTATCAATTTACGTGTGCTAGCTGTAGGGCAGCATATATAGGAAAAACTAAAAGACATTTGATAACTCGTATCCATGAACACTTGGGCCGTTCCGTTCGAACAGGCCAGTTAATCACACAACCACCACATTCAGCTATTCCTAACCACGCCCAACATGACCACCCGTTTTTGCCGTCTAATTTCTCAGTTCTTGGCAGGAGCGACTGTGATACAGACCTCCTCATTATGGAGGCATTACACCAGTATAAAGCAAAGCCATCCCTTTGTGATATGGCCTCTAGTGAATTGTTGTGTTTTTCTCACTAAGGCTCGTCCGAATTAAGGTAATATCCCCCTGTATATTTTATTTCTTACTTTTTATTCCTGACTTTACCTTTGTATGTAGGTCTCTCGTCATTTTTGTCGGTTTTGAATTGGATTGCCCTTTTTTAAATTTGTAAAGCTTATCGAAGGTAAATTTTCGTATAATATCATGTTTTTATTGTATATCACCTGTATTTTTTAAAACTTTTCAAAACTTTTGTGTTTTTAGGCTCTGATGATGGAAAACGATTATTTCCGAAACGATAGCGATTAAAAGAAGCCCACATGGTCAAGATGTTTGTGTTTACCCTTGTTCTCGTCTTCGTTATAAAACTACGCTTTCCACGTAACAAGTCTATTGCTGAAGTTATATATATATACAGTATATATATATATATATATATATATATATATATATATATATATATATATATATATATACAGGAGTGAGGAGTAACAACGAATGATGGGAGGCCTTAATATGATTAAGATGTGAATAAAAAATATGAATATTTATCAAATGGTTGTGTAGATTGAGACAACCGACTCTTATTAAACACATAATGATCATCTTGGATAAATCTTGGAGCAGTTTATTGTATATCTTTTTAATACGGAAAGTTTTTTTGACAGGATAATGTCCATGACAGAGAGTGGCCTCTACAACAAGTGGTATGAACAGCACACCCCAAACTCTTCTGCCTGTATTTACCCTCCAACCAAGATCACCCAAACCGCCTCCATCTCTCTCACTCACATCTGGGTAATGAGGCAGGATAATTTCAAACTAAAATTTCCTTCCACACACACACACACACACACACATATATATATATATATATATATATATATATATATATATATATATATATATATATATATATATATATATATATATATATATATATATATATATATATATATATATATATATATATATATATATATATATATATATATATATATATATATATTTGACTGAACGGCCTTAGTAATTGTGGGGCGGATAAACAGGAGGATTGTTCACTTTTGTATTGAATTATGAGACTTTGGTCACATATTCTGCTTGCGTTAGTGGAGATTTTCTGATATAGTACCAACTGAACAGTGTCCCCGGGATGCCCCTAGCTGCTGATCGTTGCAGTGCCTCCCGAACAGTTATTTCAAGTGTAACAGCTTCCTTAATTTTGGTCCAAACAAACTGATATTTGGATATGTTATATACCTTGACCTTAAAAAAAAAAAAATATCATTCTATGTAGTGTTTTGTCAGACCAAAGTGTGTTTGTTTGTTTGTTTGTTGTTTATAAATTTTTCGAATTTTTCCTGAACTAATTTTTTATTCCTATAGTTATGGTCTTTATTTCAATACACCATAATATATTATGCCCCTTTATCTGCTTGAGTAATTTTCAGAGTAGTGAAGACAGATGTACAGGTAGCTTTGATTGACTGTCTTAATTTCTGCTTTGCAGGAACTGTGGCTGCTACTTGTTTACTTGATGAATATCGTCCCCTGGAAAGTCCCACCACAAGCAATAAGAATGAAAATCTCATAAACTGGTCACTGTGTATCTTCTGCCAGGACTCCAAGAACAAAAAACTTGTATGTCCTGCTTAATCCAAACGTCAAGACGTCAAAACTCTTGCTGAGATGATTTGCAAAAGTTCAGCCAGATTAGAGAATTATCAAGCTTCCTGAAACTAGCAAACCATAAAGCAAAGTGGCACAAGGTATGCAAAGACAACTATAACCAAACCAAGTCAATCCGTCTCAAAAAACAGCAGGCTGATGACTCTATAAGTGATATAACACCAGAAGGTGTGGCAAAGCGAATCAGACGTTCTCATGAATCAGTGAATGAATCTGCAAAATGCTTCTTTTGTGATGAATATGGAAAACCTGGACAACTCCATCAGGCAACTACTTATAGGCTGGACTGGAGAGTCAGGTCGGCTGCTCTTTGTGTGGGTGACACCAAGTTGCTGGCAAAATCAAGTGCTGGTGATGTAATAGTAATTGAGAGGAAATATCACTTGAAATGCTTAATATCATTATGTAACCTGGCCAAAGTTATAAACTATAAAAAATCAGCTGAAGATCAAGAAAATGACTTGCATAGTAGCAAAGCATTTGCTGAACTTAAACTGTTTGTTGAAGAACATAGTGATAAGGAAAATCACATAATAAAGCTAGCAGATTTACTGAAAATATACGGCAAGCGACAGAATCAACTTGGAGCTGAACAACGAGAGAGAATTCATTCTATTCGACTCAAGGACAAGCTCCTAGCACATATTCCAGCCCTACAAGCTCACAAAAAAGGGAGAGATTTCCTACCAGTTCATGACACAATAGTGGGAAAAAATTTGATGAAACTACTGAGAGAGATGCTATTAGTTTGGCAAAAGCAGCTTAGATATTACATAGGGATATGTTTGACAAAGTCCCATGTTTTGAAGGTTCTTTTTCTTCTGACTGCCAAGAGAAATCTGTTCCTGCAGTGCTTCTTGCTTTTATACGCATGCTATTGGAGGGTCTAAGTTACAACCCAGTCCGATGTGAAGCTCTTACATTGTCCCAACTTATCAGGTACAATTGCTTAAAACATAAACGACGTTACTCGTCAACCACAACAGTGAGTCACTGTCGAAACCAGGTGACACCATTTCCACTTTATGTTGGAATAATGATACATGCACATACCAGAAACCGTGGGATAATTGATAGATTGTTTCAGCATGAAATATGTGTCTCTTATGACAGGGTGCTTCAGCTGTCTACAGATCTGGCCAATGTTGTGTGTGAAGAATACAAGAAGAGCCAAGTAATAATCCCAACCAACCTTAAAACAGGTGTATTTATCACAGGTGCAGTTGACAACACAGATCACAACCCATCTTCAAATATAGCAACTAATTCATTTCACGACACTGGAATATCACTATTTCAATATCCAAACTTTGACGGACAGGGAACAAGAGTCATGGACGTGAGCATCAAGTCAGTTTCTTCAAAAAGCATAACATTTTTGCCATAATTCTACACACATGTACCACTAATTGTTAAACCTTCACGCAATCCACCAATGCCAGCTGCAGTGCTGACCACCATACCTGATGGAAACACAATAACACTCATGTCCAGATTGAATATGGAGGGTTAAAAAGGTTAGGCGATCTTGTTTAGGAGCTTTAGATGATGGACAAAATATCCCCTGGTCTACACATCATGCATCTCAGCAGGTGACTGATGTTCTTGCTAGATGTTCAACGAGTTTATTGCCACTTTTTTAAAGAAATTTCTCACTACTATGCAATGATCCGTCATTGCATGATTATTGGTCTTAATGCAGTACAGCATTTAAATCCAGGTAAGACACCAGTCCTTGCATGTAACCAGCCCCTTTATGCTATAGTCTAGAACATTTAGTGGACATGGACTGACTCGTCTGGTGAGGATAAGTTAATTACAATGCTTGAAGGATTGCATATTGAGATCTCGACCTGGAAGGCAGCAGGGATTTGATTGGATGGGAGGGATTGACAGATGTACTTACTGAAGCCCAGGTTGCTACATCAGGTAAAGCAGACTCATATCTCTCAGCAGCTCATCTAAAGAGTACGAGGTACGCACACCAAGCTACATGAGCCTCTTTATACAGTGCCAAACCTGTGATGAATATGTTGAAAAGCTTAAAGGTGACACTGGTAGTGAAGGATTTCCATCATAGTGCCAAAAATGGCAAGACACCATCCCCAGTTCAGATACTGGTCGCTTGTTCTAGAACTAGAATTGACTGTGCTGATGTTTGTGAAGTCTTTCAGGTCATCACATTTCAAGTTGTATGTTGATCCCCTCGTTCAGATCATACCCTGGTTCCTTGCATTGGATCGTACACACTATTCACGCTGGTTATCTGTACTTGTACACGACATGCAGGAGCTCTCAGTAAAACATCCCCAGCTCGCTAGAGAATTTGAAGCTGGGAAATTCTCATTACTGAAGACAAAACATACATTTTCGGCCATGTCTCTGAATCAGGGCCATGAAGAAAATAATGAGATGGTAAAGAATGAGGGTGGAGCCCCTGGCCTGACTGGAAATCTACAAGCCTTCCACAGGTGAATGATTGGAGGCCCACAAATTGCCACCCTTGTTAACGATTTTGAAGAAAGTGCACACCTAAATGCAGAAGAGTAATTACTGCACCATGAACAGGTACCTAGTTTTCAAAGTAAGTTTATAGCTCATGTGCGGTCAATGGTGGACACCATTACAGAACTCGGTAACCCACTGTGATGAAAACAAGGAACTTGTGTCCCTTGGTAGCAACATTGTTGCTGATGTGTCAGTAGTCAAGACTGTAGGTGCAGTAAGAGAGACTAGGTTACAACAGTATCAAACCTTTGTAAAAGAGAGACTTATCGATCATTCCAAATCGATAAATGAGCCACTACCTCAAAAAAGTTTGCCTTGTTAAAGGGTCGACCAAACAAGCTGTGTATTCTAAGGTTAACCTTAAGCTCAAGTCAGCAAAGAATGACTGCCTGTTCTTCATCAGACTCTAAAAGGATGTTAAAACCTTGGTGGTAGTCTTGACGACTTCTTTGCACATGATGGTGGCAGATTACGAACACGCTCCAAGACTGATCTGTTACAGTGCTTTGAAAACTGTGAAGCAAGGACAGGTGAGCCTGATGTCTCAGCAGTGGTCATTGATGGTGCTGCTGTTGTGCAGACCGTCAAACCATGGACAACGAAGACCATCAAAGAGTACAGCAAAGTTGTTTTTGAGCCTTACATAGGAAGGTGGTTTGGAATAGTCAAAATAGTGGATGTGGTATGGGATGTTTACCTGCATTGTATTCTGAAATCATCAACTAGAGAGAGAAGAGGCACAGGAACCAGACTTTAACACGATATTGGCCTGAGTTCTTGCAAGTGGATGAAAATAAAATAGAATTATTTAATTTCTTGTCACAACAATATGTATCATCCAGCTGAATAGGGGAAGAAAAGTAATCATTGTAACAGATGGGTAGGATGTTCTGTGTGTGCAAGATTGTGAGGACTTATCTCAGCTTGCACCGTGTTCTCATGAAGAAGCTGATATCATTCTTTACTGTATAGATGCTGCTAGCAAGGGCCATAGTAGAATTCTGGTAAGAAATGTGGACACCGATGTTGTGTGCTGGCTATTGCTAATTACCAAAGGATAGCAGTGGAGGAACTATGGATAGCTTTTGGGTCAGGCAATAACTTCAGATAACTGCCAGTTCACCTAATGCATCTGCCATGGGACAAGGAAAAGCAAGATCACTGCCTATATTCATGCCATAACAAGATGCGATACTGTCTCCTTCTCTTGTGGTTGTGGGAAAAAGACAGCTTGAGATATATGGAGGTCTTATGAACAGGCCACGCATATGTTCCTACTACTTACTGTATTATTGATGAACAACTGACTGTACTGGAGAGATATGTTGTTCTACTGTACGACCGTAGCATTGAAATCGAAAAGGTAACCATAAATGACTGAGTTGCATACCATCGTACTCCTTGAGTACGTATTACTTTAGTAATACTTATCTTTATTTGGGAGACAGCTAAACTTAAAGGCATAGTCATATAGCACACTATAAAAGTAAATGCCTGGAAAAAAACATTGATAAATAACTAATTCTCTGTTGAAAATGCTATTTTTATGCCCTTGTTACTACATTACAGGTGAACTATTCCAGGAAATATCTGTTCACAAAGAAAGCCGAGGCATTGAAGGGATTCCTCCAACCCAAGCTGAGCTAATGCAACATATTAAGAGAGCTGTATAGCAAGGTGGCCATGTCTGGGGACAATGTTCTAGTCCTATTCCCATTCTTCCTGACCCCATCTATTGGGGTTGGACACTTGAAGGAGGAGCCTATGACTCTGTTTGGACAAAATTACCTGAAGCTGCAAAGATTTGCCTAGAGCTGGTACACTGTGGTGCAACAGGACATGTTCAGGACGATGCAAGTGTGCAAAAGCAGCTTACTGCTCTCTGTGCATGTGATGGACAGCGCAGTTAAAAATCTATGCATATGATATAATGTGTACAGCTTTAAACATTCTTAAAGGAAACCTTAGAATTCTGAAGTCTGAAACCATTTGAGTGTTGATTATTGAATTATTTGTAAAACAAAACCAAACATGAAATTATTAATAAAACAAACAAACAATACACACTTTGGTCTAACAAAAAATTATATAGAATAATATATTTTTGTCATGTCACAATGCGTAACATATAAAAATATCAGTTTGTTTGGACCAAAGATAAGGAAGCTGTTACAGTTGGAAGAGCTGTTCGGGAGGCACTACAACAGTCAGGGTCAACCAGGGGACGCTGTTCAGTTGGCACTATATCAGAAAATCTTTACTAATCTAAGTAGAATATGTGACCAAAGTCTCATAATTCTATACAAAAGTGAACAATCATGCTTATTTTATGTGCTTATCCGCCCCACTGTAACATGGATATTCTCTTTATTTTCAAGTTTTTCAAGGCTGTTTCAGATCTTTTTTGAATGTTTGAAACTATTTACTTACGTTAAACACTATGTATACAACCTTTGGCAATGGATATATCTTCATTTGTAACATCTGTCGACTAATTCTTTTCCAGGTTGATTATACCTTTAGCAATAGTAAGTGGATTAACGGTGCGCTGAGCAATAGAAAACTTCCTACCAAAACCAAGAACAAGTTTCTCATTTGTCTGTAGATCATAAGATGATAAGTTTATGAACAAATTTGGATCACCCAGTTTAGACAAGTAACTCTCGTCAAACAGAGCATTTAATTTACACTTCAACCTTTTTTATAGACTATATATATATATATATATATATATATATATATATATATATATATATATATATATATATATATATATATATATATATTACACAAGGTCAAAATATGATTTATCGCGATGCTCCAGGCAAGCCGGCACCATTCATCACCAAAGCAAATATTAGTTACATAATAAACTAACTTTAATTGCTTGGTAGAGCGAATATACAGTATAAGCAACAATATCGTGTAATTACATCAAAGGTATAAGAATTTACCTTTCAAATTACCTTGGAACATATTAAGATGATGAGACGAACTAATAGAAGAACTTAGATGCAAAACCAAGTACAGTACAAGTAATGTAACTTCCTGTGTTCGTCAGGGGTTGTTCGTGGTGCTGGCTGTTGGTCACTCCCTTGGTTTGCTGGTGATCTGCCTCGAGCTGCTCCTTCATCACGTTCTGGCCTCTGATGTCCACCATTCTCCCATGGAACTCACCAGCACCATGACTGCTCTCCCTCATTAATTATGACGCTCAAAAATTAATTTGGTAAGGTTTTATATATATATATATATATATATATATATATATATATATATATATATATATATATATATATATATATATATATATATATATATATATATATACAATGTACTTAATTTTAAATACGTGTTACTCTGTAATTATTATTATAACATATTTTTGTTTTGTTTGCAGATAATTGGAAGAGACACTTTGGAGCATACGGCAATGTGGTTTTGACTACGGGACAAAAAGTGAAAGTCGTCGAAGTGTATATTGAAACAAAATCTGTGGTACAGATTCAATGTCGCAACTGTTGCCACTTTAACGTCAGAAAAGCGCCAACATCAAAATCAATTCAACGTATTGTGACCAAATTTAAGGAAAGTGTAGTATCTAGCGTTATTTAATGGGAGAATGACAAGTCGCATGGTCAGTCTGGCTGGGGCGTTCATTGTCTGTTGTTGGTTACAACGTGCCTAACACATTTCGTGTTTACACAAGCCTAAACACTTTCTGACTTTGGTAAGAGGTAACATAATACATAATGTATATATATCAATAAAGGCAGCATATAAACATACATATATATATAACACTATTTCTCCCTTTCAAAAGAGAGCATGGCTGCTACAAATCCTAAATAAACAAAACTTACAGAATTACCTATGGCAGGGAAGAAGAGAATAGAACACAACAAATATAACTTCCTAACTAAACAGTTTTGAAAGGCCTGTTCACAATTCAGATAATTAGAGGTCTAATTTAATTACAGGTCTCCTAACTCTGTTTGATCTTCTAGGACTATTCCCTCCATCAAGTTTTACAGGGGTTTCACTTGCACTCTGTGCATTATCAGTGACAGACATATCATCACTACAGTCAGTTGACACAGTGAGTGGATGCTGGGAAACATCATCTTTGACATCATCATGATGATGATCATCTGAAACTGTGTCAAGTTTATCATCATGTCCTGGTGCTACATTCATCTCGTCATGTGCCTGAATGACGCGATCCACATGAACATATCTCAAAGAGTTACCACGTTTCACTAAATATGTCCTAGATCCACATACCTTGTCAATGACACCAGTTATCCACTTTGCATGTACAGTACCATAACCTTTAGCCATGTTCCTAACTCTCACCCTATCATTTACCTTGAACACTCTTTCACTGGAACTTTTATCATGATACATTTTTTGTTGAATTTGTTTCCTCTCTACAACTTCAAACAGACTTGGCTTAAGTAATCTTAATATTGTTCTCAACTGTCTCTTCACCATTAACTCTGCAGGAGTACATCCTGTCACACTATGTGGCGTGGTTCTGTATCTGAGTAAGAAATTTGCTAGTCTGTGTTTCTTTGATTTTCCTACAGTTCCTTGAATTACCAGCTTGGAAAGTGCTTCCTTTACAATTCTAACTGATCTCTCAGCTGCACCATTAGAGGCAGGATGATAGGGTGGGGTCAGTACATGCTTTACACCGTTGAGTCTCATGAAGTTTTTAAACTCTGATGATTGAAATGGAGGACCATTGTCAGAAACTACCTCTTCTGGTATTCCATGTTCAGCAAATATTAATCTTAATTCATCAATGATGCTACCAGCGTTAGTACTGTACATGTGCTTAACATCAATCCACTTTGAATGACTATCAATTTATAAAAGAAATTTGTCTGTTCCCTTATCACAGAAGTCAATGTGTACTCTTTGGAAGGGACGGGTAGGCCATTTCCAGGTTTTCAAAGGTGTGCTGGGTGGCATACTCCTAACATTCTGACAAACAGAGCACTCACGTACCATCATTTCTATTTCACCATCCAGTTTAGGCCACCACACAAAACTTCTGGCCAGTGCTTTCATAGCACATATACCTGGATGTTCAAAATGCAGTTCATTCAAAATTTGCCCTCTAAAATACTGTGGAATTAACACTCTCATACCCCACAACACACATCCCTGTTCTACTGATAATTGACATCTCCTTAAATGATACGGTTGAAAGTCTAAGGATGGACAAATCTCTGGCCATCCATTTAGTGTATACTCCAGGACTCTTCCTAATACAACATCTTTCCTAGTTTCATGAGCAATCATTCCGGAGGTGACGAGAAAATCTTCTGCTATCTTGGTTACAGCATAAACCTTAGGCTCTACTCCATCATTTGATCCACTACATGGCAACCTTGACAAAGCATCTGCATTGGAATGATCATCTGAACGTCTGTACTGTATCTCATAGACATATGCCGACAATATCAAAGCCCATCTCTGCATTCTTGCTGCAGCAAGTGTAGGAACAGGTGATTTAGGACCCAAAATTGCCAAGAGAGGCTTGTGATCAGTTATTAAAACAAAATTCCTCCCATATAGATACTGGTGAAATTTCTTTACTCCAAATATGATAGACAAAGCCTCTTTCTCTATTAGTGCATAATTTTTCTCGCTTTGGGAAAGAGTTCTCGAGGCATATGCAATGGGTCTTTCTTCACCGTTATCCATTATGTGACTTGTGACAGCACCTAATCCATAGCCCGATGCATCACAAGCAAGCTTTAGTGTTCTACTGGTATCATAGTGGACCAAAACATCAGTACTAGACAGAGCAGCTTTACAATCTTCAAATGACTTCTGAGTTGCACTGTTCCATTTCCATGGTATCCCTTTCTTTAATTGTTCATGCAGAGGGGCTAAAACTGATGAAAGTCCACTCAAGAACCTTGAATAATACTGTATCATACCTAGGAAAGCTTTCAATTCACTGACATTTTTTGGAACAGGTAAATTTACTGTGGCTCCTACTTTATCTTCTACAGGTCTCAGCCCTTCTGCATTCACTTTGTAGCCAAGATAAGTTACTTCTTTAGCTAGGAATGAACATTTGCTCTTGTTGAGCCTGATATTGTGTGCCAACAATCTTTCGAATACTGTGGTTAGGGTTTTGACATGATTTTGGATGACACTGTCAACAATAAGGACATCATCCTGAAAACATAACAATTGGGAAGACCCACAAGAATTTTGTCCATGATGCACTGAAATAACTTTGGTGCACTTTTAACACTATAAGGCAACCTTGTGAACTTATACAATCCTTTATGAGTGTTGATGGTAAGGTACTGTTGACTTTCAGCATCAAGAGAGACCTGAGCATATGCTTGGGACAAGTCTAACTTAGTGAAAATGGTTCCACCTGTTAGTGCAGCAAACAAATCTTGAGATGTGGGTAAGGGATATTGCTCATCCTCAACAGCTTGATTAATGGTGACTTTAAAATCACCACATAGTCTAACAGATTTGTCAGCTTTAGGTACAATTACTATTGGAGCAGCCCAATTGCTCCTGGCGGTTTTCACAATAATTCCCTCACTCACAAGTCTGTCTAATTCTTTCTCAACCTCACCTTTCAATGCATAAGGAACAGGTCTGGACTTAGCATATATGGGTGTAACATCTTTGTCAATGGTGATATGAGCTTCATAACCCTGTATTTTTCAAGCAATTTCTCAAGACCTGGAATACTGTTACACATTCTAACACTAAATATCTCCTTCCAGTCCATCTCAAGTTCACACAACCAGTTCTTACCTAACAAAGTTGGTCTATTCACATAACTAGCTATAATTAATGGCAACTTTAAATTCTGATTTTTGTACTTTACCTCACACTTTAATTTACCTTCTGTGTTCAAAATTTCTCCAGTATAAGTTCTCAACTTGACACCTGAGTCTTCTAAAGGCACATGCGCAAATAGTTTCTCATACATATCTTTACTCATTATGGAGAAATCAGGTGCAGTATCCACTTCCATGGTTACAGGTGTGTCATTAATACACAAGTCCACATTATACCTATGTTTAACTTTCTCTTCACTACTGGTGTAAATCGTGAACACATGGGCACTCTCATCATTATCAGATCCAAAATTACTAACACTCTCATGAATATTGTTTTTCATTTCCTTCTCTCCACCTTCAACGGCATATACTCTACCTTTATCACTTCTGCAGGCAGGAGCAATTTGTCCAATATGTTGACAATTGTAACATTTTGAATTCTTGAACTTACACTGAAAGCTTTCATGTTTCCCTCGGCACCTCTTACATTTTAAATCAGCATTTGTTCTTTGTTTTGTGGTATACTTATTCCTTTTAGCTACAGTTCGTTTACACACTGAGCCACTACTGCTGTTTCACTACCAGCATTGGGAACAAATTCTCTGGTGTTTTTCTCGGCCAATTCCGTACTCGTAGCTATCTGACATGCACTTTCAAAAGTTAAGTTAGTGGTGTTCATTAACTTATTCTGAATGGATAATTTCTTGAAAGCTACTATATAATTACTTACTGATTCATCTTTACCTCTATCGCTTGTGCCAAATTTGTAACTTTCAGCGATCTCACGTGGAGCAGGGTCAAAATGTTGCTTCAGAATCTTGGTAATCTGAATCAGTGAGGAGTCCTTGGGCTTGTTTGGTACCAGCAAATTGACCAGAGTAGAATAAATATTAACTCCTACCTCTGTCAAAAAGATTGCCTTCCTTTTCTCTTCAAGGGCCTTTCTCTTCCGAGCATCACCACCGTCGTCCATTAATTCATTTGCCAAAAAGAAGAAGTCCATTCTCCCACAATATGATGTGAAATCTTCCTTGTCTGCATCATACTCCCCCAATCTTCCCATGTATCCAGTGACGCCAGCCATGGTTGCTCTCTTCACTTAAATTCTCCAGGTTCAGAGTAGCCTTCCCTTCAGTGGTCACTATTCTCTCTTCAAGGAGTTCACAAACACTTTGCCAATCCCATCCTCGTCGCCAGTGTAGTATCTTGCGTTATTTAATGGGAGAATGACAAGTCGCATGGTCAGTCTGGCTGGGGCGTTCATTGTCTGTTGTTGGTTATGAAGTGCCTAACACATTTCGTGTTTACACAAGCCTAAACACTTTCTGACTTTAGTAAGAAGTAACATAATACATAATGTATATATATCAATAAAGGCAGCATATAAACACACATATATATAACAGAAAGCAGAACTGTTCATAACCTAAATAAAGGGACATCATGTAGACCCAGGACCTCTTGGACTTAGGTCACAGTTCCAGTTCTTGTGAAAGTCTTCGATGCCTTTTTGAGGATTGCTAACCACCGAGTGCTGCACACCACCAATGTTCTCCTATGTCCTTGGTCTGCCTGGTGTTCCTTTATTTAGGTTATGAACGTCCTGTACACTACATCAAGTTATTACATATTTTCACTCTTACAAAGAAACCCAAATAATTCCCAATTTTCTAATAAACCCTCGCGGGCTCCATAAAGACGCTCGCGAACTACAGCTGGGAAACACTGTTCTATATATTCGTTTATGGCCGGTCAAAAGTTAAAAAAATATATATGCATATTATAAGTTATTTCTGATTGGCAATTATCCCTATTTAGTGTAGTATGCACACACACACACACACTCATGGCTTGGACATGTGCGAAGAATGGATAAAGATAGGATGGACACTATCTGGGAGAAGACCGGTTGGTCCTCGAGGACGATTCTCCCACC